TCCTCTTAATGTACCCCAGGATCCCATTGACCTTCTTGGCAGCCAGGGCACACTGCTGGCTCATGGTTAACCTGTCGTCCACCAGGACACCAAGGTCCCTCTCCACAGAGCTGCTCTCCAGCAGGTCCATCCCGAGCCTGTACTGGTGCATGGGGTTGTTCCTCCCCAGGTGCAGGACCCTGCACTTGCCCTTGTTGACTTTCATCAGGTTCCTCTCTGCCCAACATTCCAGCCTGTCCAGGTCTCGCTAGTTGTATTGTTTGAATGGGTATTTGTTCTGATAAAATCTAGCAGGAGCAGATAAAGTTGTATTAAAAGATATAGTAGATACGTATGTGCTATGTTTTCAAAATGTTTCCAGCTGGGTGATTTTTGACGGCTGAACAGAACAGAAGTTAGCAGTTCATCACTTGCAAAGAAATTTTATACGGTTTCTTTGGTAGAATGTCTGCCCTAAAAATATAATGCTAAAGTAATTATTCCAATAATTAATTTAATTTACATTGTTCAGTTTCTTTGATTATCTAATTCTCTTGCAGACAGATATTGATTCCAGTAGGCAACTGTCCTCTTGGTTAAACCAGTGCCTCCTTGTGTTCTTCATTGGCTGAGTTAAACAGCAAAAGGCTGTTATTCAGCATGCTGGTACACATCAGTGACTGAAACATTGGCTAAAAAATGAATTGAGTGGAACTTAATTCCAATCTTAAGTGTGCAATTAATAACTTTTAATTTGGCCTGATGTACTCTAATTGGTGTTCTGTCCTGAACCTAGTAAATGACCAGCATCTGATAAACGGTTTCTTTAGACGGGAAGAAAACTTTGAAGGGAGGAATGCGTCTGTTCCATTCCACTTGGAAAAGGGGAATTAGAATATACTTATTTCAGTTGGAAGGGACCTACAACAACCATCTAGTCCAACAGCCTCACCGATCCAGGGCTGGCCAAAAGTTAAAGCATGTTGTTAAGGGCATTGTCCAAATGCCTGTTAACACTGACAGGCTTTGGGCATCGATCATCTCTCTAGGAAGCCACTCCGGTGTTTGACCACCCTCTCGGTAAAGAAATGTTTCCTAACGCGCAGTCTGCACCACCTCCCCTGGTGCAGCTTTGAACCATTCCCATCTGTCCTATCACTGGATATCCAGGGAGAAGAGCTCAGCACCTCTCTCTCGACTTCCCCTCCTCAGGAAGCTGTAGAGAGCAATGAGGTTGGCCCTCACCTTTCTTTTCTCCAGACCAGGCAAACCCAGAGACTTCAGTCTTTCCTTGAAGGACCTGCCTTCCAGCCCTTTCACCAGCTTTGTTGCCCTCCTCTGGACGCATTCAAGGACCTTCAAAATCTTCTTAAATTGGGTACCCCAAAACTGCACGCAGTATTCAGGGTGAGGCCTCACCAATACTGAATGCAGTGGGATAATCCCCTCTTTTGACCGGCCGGTTATGCTGTGTTTGGTGCACCCCAGGTTGGCGTTTGCCCTGTTGGCTGCCAGGGCACACTGCCAACTCACACTGAGCCTGCTGCCAACCAGCACCCCCAGATCTCTTTCTGCAGGGCTGCTCTCCAGCCACCCCTCTCCCAATTTATACCTGTGTGTGGTGTTACTCTGTCCTTTCGACTTGTTAAATTTCATTCCATTAATCATAGCCCAATGCTCCAATCTATCTACATCCCTCTGCAAGGCCTATTGTCGCTCAAGAGGGTCAGCAGCACCTCCCAGTTTGGTATCATTAGCAAACTTCCTAATGGTGTATTCATCTCCCGCATACAAATCATGGATAAATATATTGAACAGAACTGGCCCTAGAATTGATTTCTGAGGAACACTGCTGGTGACCGGTCACCAGGCAGATGTATCCCCATTGACTACAACCCTCTGAGCTATACCCTTCAGCCAGTTCTTCACCCAGGACACTGTGAACCTGCTCATCCCACAGCTGGACAACTTGTCCAGAAGGATGCTGTGAGGGACGGTATCAAAAGCCTTGATAAAATCCAGAAAAGCTACATCCAGCATCTTCCCTTCATCCATTAGGCAAGTGTCATCATAGAAGGACATCAAGTTAGTTAAACAGGACTTCCCTTTTGTGAATTGTTAGATATAGGCATACTCTATGACAGGCATATGATTTAAGCCACTGTAAATTAATCTTACCTCACTCGGGTAGTTATTAATCTGAGATATGTTCCTAATAGAGAACATCTTGAAAGGAAAAGCCTAAAACTTAACTTTTATAGTCACTGTAAGAGTATTGTTCCACATGAAGTAATCAGCTCACATTTTTATCAATATTCTTTTCATAAGTAAAACACGTTTCATCTGTATGAGTAGCAATAGTCTTCATTATAAAATAACTAGCATTAACATAGCATTAACCCAGGTTAGTTCTTTTTCATATTTCATCAAACATGTAGCATGAAAAGTAATACAATTCATACCAATATCAGATTTACTTGCAATTGTGTTGTAGGTGATATTTACCTGGCTCCTGGCCTTCCAGCTGTACTACATCTGCGTATCATTTATTTTTATTCCAGGGTGGACTTTTGTTCTCTGTATCAGATATTACAGACATTTTGTAAGAATGACAGAGTTATGACATGCACATTAAGTACTTTTCCTTTGCGTCAAAACCCATGAGCTGTTTAGACACACCATTCTGGTGTACGCTCAGGAAGCGTGATGAAGTGCAGAAGGAGCATAGATTGACAAGCCAGTTCCAAAGCCAAATCTACATCTACAGTAGTGTCTTAAGTTAAAACTTGTCATCTTAGAAAAAGCAAAATATGTTCTTTTCACGTGTATTTTCAATGAACATTTTAGTTGGTGACTTGATTGATGAGAGTATTTCCAGAAATGTTAATTCTAAGCAAAATACTTTGGGCATTTAACAGTGTCACTGTTTGCACCAGTTAATATTCTCTTGGCCAATCACAGAATTAAAACCAACAACAACTAGAACAACAACAACAAAAGACAACAAACAACCAAAAACCCTATGTGATTTATCTTCAGGTCAGTGTAACTAGCACAAGTTAAAGTTCGCTCAGTTGAATGTGAATAAACAATCTGCAGACCCAAGAATTATTTAAAAAAAAAGAATTTATTGAATATTTTCATGAATTAGCAGAAGGTTGCGTAGTGACATCTTCTGAATGAATAAAACTGAGACATTCTCTAATAAGGAAATTTATCTCTAAAGTGTAGACTTGAATGCAGAAGGATTGTTAAAATTCCTGTTTCCATACTGTTTAAGATCAGTGAAACCTGAAAAAATCATAGGGACACCAGAGTGTCTCTATATCACACTGGCAAAGGCAGACTTTTAGTATTAATATTTCTGATATGCTATCAATAAATGCAAATGCC